AGGAAAAAGTGTGTGTCACCAGTTTCTGGAAACATGAATTTGTCCTCTCACCTCCCTCCCATTCTTCCTTCCAGATCCTACCCTGCACTTCAATGGGTGAAGAATGTGTCTCAAGAAACCACAGCAGTCAGGAGTAGGTCGTCAGAGTTTTGTAAGGATTATCGATTAACAATAATGTGCCACACAGTACCTTTCAGGTCAGGCCAACGGTAGCTTTATATATAACGAAAACAGAAAGTGCTGGCATACTCAGTAAGTCTGGCAGCATTTGTACGGAGGGAAACAGAGTTAATGCTCAAGTCAAATATGACTTGTCTTCAGAATGATATTATAATGCTTATCCAGATATAGGGAGCCCATGCTTTTGTTTTCAATATCTGTCTCCTGGGTGCTCGTCAACGGAGCAGGAAAAGGATTGGTGGTGGCGGGGAGTTACATGGAAAGTTTAAATGCATGTTTCTGGTAAATTGCTGATTTCTCAAATTGCTGATGCTCACATTCTGATTAAGAAATTACACACCACTCAGAATAGCTCATTCAAGCTTCCAGGCCCACAGAATGCAAACAAGGGAACTGCTTTGGGGCCAGCAAGGTAGAAAGACCCATCTTTGCTGTCTCTGTAAGAGCAAAGCCGAGACTGAACTCAACATTTTGTGAAAACTAAGGTGAAAGGTGTGGTGGCTCAGTGGTTAGCACTGCTGCCTCACAACACTAGAAGCCTTGTTTCAATCCTGCCTTGGGCGGCTGTCTGTGTGGAGTTAGCATATTCTTCCGGTGTTTGCGTGAAATTCCTCTGGGTGCTCTGGTTTCCTCCCATAGTCCAAACATGTGCAGGTTAGGTGGATTGGCCTTGCTAAATTTCCCAGTGTGCGCAGGCTAGGTGAGTTAGCCATGGGAGATACAGGGATAGGGTGAGGGTAGGTCTGGGAGGTGGATGGTCTTTGGTGGGTTGGTGTGACTTGATGGGCTGAATGGCCTGCTTACATACTAGAGGGATTCTATGATTCCCAACTCTCTGTCTTCTATTAATTACCATGCTAAAATAGTAACTTCAACAGCATGGGATCTTGTCTTATTGGGGCGGCAAAGTGGCTCAGTGGTTAGCAACTCTTGCCTCACAGCAGCAGGGATCAGGTTCAATTCCGCCCTCGAGCAACTGTCTGTGTGGAGTTTGTACATTCTCTGTTTGCCTGCATGAATTTCCTCCCACACTTTAAAGATGTGCAGGTTAGGTAGATTAGCCACGGGAAATGAAGGATTACAGAGATAGGGTTGGGGGGGCTAGGTCTGGGTGGGATGCTCTTCAAGGGGAGGTATGGACTCGATGGACCGAGTGGCCTGCTTCCACACTAAGGATTTAATAATAACTCTGAAGCTCACCTGCCAACACTCTGTGACAACATGCCATGATTCCAGTCACTTATTATACGCCTAATATATTAAATCTAAAATTGCCTTCGCACGACCAACCTACAAACTGACTGGTAACATTCTTACTCTACAGAAATGATTATATTGATAAGTTACTTACTTTCATTGGACCATATATTTTCTTCTTCACAACTTTTTCATCATTTTTGTTAGACTTAGGCTTTATCTTGGCTTTAAAGTAAACAAAAGAATATTCACTTAAATTGAACTTATTCATTCAATTCAGAAAAGTTTACTTGGCATGTAATTCTCAAAAGATGCACATTTTCAGTGATATTTCGGTCCAGCGTATTTTCGCAATCATACATGGTCTACTCAAGGGCTGGGTCCTTTGGTAAATAGACATCGCTGCGAGGGACATGGAAATTATTAACTTTACAAGCCTAAGTTTTGCTCCCAAACAGGTTACCTTGTAAGAACAAGGTTTCTATATGAGGTTAGAACATCAAGTGGGGTTACAAGCTGCATTTTGGAGTCATGAGCTCCAAGGCTCTTAGGGGAGATGGATGCGTAGTAGTAATATCACTGGACTAGTAATCCAAGACCCCAGGTTAATGTTCTGGAGCCAAAGGTTTGAATCCCCCCATAACAAATGGTGACATTTGAATTCAATAAAAACCTAGAATTTAAAAGAAATGTTGGTCTAATGGTTACCATGCAACTATTGTCAATTGTTGTAAAGACCTATTTGGTTCACCAATTGCCTTATGCGAAGGAGATCTGCCATCTTTACCTGGTCTGGCCTACATGTGACTCCAGACCGACAGCAATGTGGCTGACTATTAATTGGCTTTCTAGGTGATTTCAGATGGCAATCTGTTCAAGGACAACTAGTGATGGGTGATAAATGCCAGGCTAATCACCAATGCCCACGTCCTCCATCAAAATGAAGAGGAAAAAAATGGCTGACCGCTTCTCAAGAAGTTGTGGCAATTTTCAAGCCTCGAACAAAGAACAAAGAAAATTACAGCACAGGAACAGGCCCTTCAGCCCTCCAAGCCTGCGCCGATCCAGATCCTCTATCTAAACCTGTCGCCTATTTTCCAAGGATCTGCATCCCTCTGCTCCCTGCCCATTCATGTATCTGTCTAGATACATCTTAAATGACGCTATCGTGCCCGCCTCTACCACCTCTGCTGGCAACGCGTTCCAGGCACCCACCACCCTCTGCGTAAAGAACTTTCCACGCATATCTCCCTTAAACTTTTCCCCTCTCACCTTGAAATCGTGACCCCTAGCAATTGAGTCCCCCACACTGGGAAAAAGCTTCTTGCTATCCACCCTGTCTATACCTCTCATGATTTTATAGACCTCAATCAGGTCCCCCCTCAAGCTCCGTCTTTCTAATGTAAATAATCCTAATCTACTCAACCTCTCTTCATAGCTAGCGCCCTCCATACCAGGCAACATCCTGGTGAACCTCCTCTGCACCCTCTCCAAAGCATCCACATCCTTTTGGTAATGTGACAACCAGAACTGTACGCAGTATTCCAAATGTGGTCGAACCAAAGTCCTATACAACTGTAACACGACCTGCCAACTCTCGTACTCAATACCCCGAAGTGGGATCACCATCAAAAAAATCATGGGGAGAACTGTGGTAGAAAGATTGGAAGGCAGAACACTCATTGGACAAAATGGTTATATTAGTAATGGGTATATTAGTGTGTTAAACAATCGGGGGTTGTAAGGGGTTATCAAACATAGTAACATATTTGATACTGACATCACACACTGTGATTTCAATCCCAATTGTCTTATTCTGAAAAAAAATGACACCAGCATCTCCTCTTAGAGCTACTGAATTGTAGAATTTTGTAGTACAGAAGAGGTCCTTTGGCCCATAGAGTCTTTAACAGCAAAAATACACTACTACTTACACTAGGCCCACTTGCCTGCATAAGGTCCATAGTCTTGAATGTTATGACTTCTCAAGTGTTCATCCAAATACTTTTTAAAAGTTGTGAGGTTTCCCACTCAACTACCCTCCTAGGCAATGCATTCCAGACTCCCACCACCCTCTGGGTGAAAATGCTTGTCCTCAAATCCCCTCTAAATCTCTTGTCTTTCACTTTAAGATTATGTGCCCTTGTTAATGGCCCTTTGACTAAGAGGAACAGTTGCTTTCTATTTACCCTGTCCTGTCCTTCAATCTTATATACCTCTATCAGGTGCCCCCTCAACCCTCTCTGTTCCAAAAAAACAACCAAAGTTTATCTAGCCTCTCTTCATAGCTGAAATGCTTTATCACAGGCAACATCCTGGTGAATGTGCTCTGCATCCCCTCCAGTGGAATCACATTCTTCCTATAGTGTGGCGACCAGAAGTGCACACAGTACGCCATCTGTGGCCTAACCAAAGCTCTGTACTCTCCAGCAATGGCCTCCCTGCTCTTATAATCTATGCCATAACTGATAAAGGCAAGTGTCCCATATGCCTTCTTAACCACCCCATTAACCTGTCCTGCTACCTTCAGGAATCTGTGGACAGGCATCCCATGATCCCTCTGTTCCTCAGAGCTTCCTAGAGTCCAGCCATTCATTGGGCATTCCCTTGTTATTAGGGTTAAATCCATCTGCTACTGAGGTGGCATCCTTTTACATACCCTGTAAGTGAAGTACTAGTTCGGACTGGTTTGATAATCTCAGAAAGACCACTGTTCACAGGGGATATGAAATGAATCAAAATTCTAATCTTGAGCAACCATCTCTAAGCATAGCAGCACATTTCTACATCTCCAAAACATCAGAAATACACTTACACTCCCTCTTGTAGTTTTTCTTTCTCCTTTGGGCACCAACTTTTCTGTTAAATCTCTGGTGTCTCGTTTAGGCAATGTCAGCAAGCTCTTCAGCCAAGGCTGTGTTTCACATCCAAGCTTAATTGTCTCCTAATCAAAGCCTTTCTAAGTCCACAGCTCAGCAGGATCGTCAGCAGCAATTAAGAATGGAAACCCTGCTGGCTGTCCTCTCCCTAGCAAGGACTGACATGTTTCATTAAAGGTCTCTGGCTGAGATTAGTTAACTTAGTGATGCAGACGGATTGTGGTGCTTTCTAGTCTGTGTTTCTTAGGCCAAGCACGCCAATGGTTAGTGGCAAAGAATTTTGAGTGGCTTGTTTTTTGAGATCATTTTCTTTCCTATTTTCTGTCCCTGAAAGCATGAACTAAATATGCTGCAATTGGTACTGGGTGCTCTCCATTACTTACCCCATCTTCACTTGTTCTTGTGCAAACATCTCTGGAGAGTACATATGGCCAATTTAACCACAGTGGTCATCACAGCTTAATGATCCTACTCTCGCCGGAAGTTTATCCACACAGTTTCAGGAAAAGGTTGCAAGGTAGATTATCAACCTGACATCCCACAAGCTTAATTATAGTTCTCAAGGATGGCTATAGGATCCCACTAACTGCTTGTCTGAGATTCAGTGAACTCTGTGGAAAGCATTAATTAACTAACTCGGGGGAACCATGATTAATCTCGAAATCTCCTTGTTCCATATGGTTCAGGTAAACTCAACACTCAGATAAATAGAGTCGATGGACCAAGGGCCTTTTCTGTGCTGTATGACTATGATTGTATCAACTGGAAATGGACCTCTGGGGAAGAGATCCCATCCGTTTGCATTCAGTTTTTAGAACTCAAAATGTGATTCTGGCAAACATTCTCAAGTTTGACAGACCCTTGGCTGAAGCGAAACCTCCTCGATTGTCAAGTTCCCTTCTTGACTTTGTCCACATGGTCAGCTGACTGGAGGTGGATGAGCTTTGTAAACAGACATTCGCTGGGTTAAAGCCAGCATTTCGCCAGACTGGTTTGCTCAAGACAAGGGGCTCCTACAGCAGCACTTAACCCTAGTCAGTCAAGGTGATTATTATGGTATAGATATTTTACTTCAATCAAACAAAGCTTTATCTGAAACTGTTCAGTCGATGATAGAACACCATTTTCTCAATTAGGTTTATGTAAACTTGACTGATCCAAGATTTTTACTTAACATATCCAAAACTAAGTGTGTTTAAATTGTCTATACCTGGCATTGAATCTTTCGATGGAGAGTCAATGTCCCTGTCTTCTGTTGAAGCTGCTGCACCATCCTCACCTCCTTCTTGATTGGAAACCTGAGCTGACAGTGTGGTTTCTATTCGAGGGAGCAAAGCAAAACATTTGTGGTCAGGCTTACTCAGGTGCTATTATTGAATTTGCACAGTAGTTAATTCCGTGGAAAGACATTTAAAATGAATTGCAAAATCAATGTCTGAATGGTCTTGCATGAAATTGTATAATAGCACTCGGAAGGTTCATCCTTTGACTGGCTTAGTCAAGTGAGAAATCAGGTAGGTTCAGATGAAGCATTTCCATGGATCATACAGTATACTTCATGGACAGTGGTGCAGGGTAGTTGCTTATGTTGGGTTAAGCAACTTAATAACTCAGATTTGAATTCCCACTGTTGGTAAAGAAATAACATAATCTCATCTAACACCAGAATTAAGTAAAGCAAGAGGATGAGATATGAAAGATAAGCATTCAACATTTGCAAGTGGAGCAGTGGGAAGTTACACTTTCATGGATTCTTGGCTTTTAGAGTGAGTCACCAATGAAGACCATCAAGTGGACAGTGCACAATAGCACCACAATGTATTTCTGGAGAGAGATATGGTGAGGGAAATATGGTTGATCAGAACAGGGCAGACTACTTGGACCCAAGGACTTCCTGATCTTTTGCTAAAACTTGTGTCTACTTAAGTGTTTGATTATTACAAACATATGCTCATGATAAAAACATGCTCCTAGATGTTATTTACTAATTAATGAAATTGGATACAACAGCTTGAAAGTGTACATGGAAACACAATGCTTTGAGTGACAATTTAATTTCCTTCAACGGAGAGTTACAACACAGGGAAATCAATATTTTGACAAAACTATATATTTTTTTAAATAAACAGAAAATTTTTCCACAAGCTATAATTCAGTGTCCCTGACAGAGTTTTCTATTGGTCTCAGCAGGCCAGTGAGGGAGCTGAGTTCTTCAGAGAAGCTGCTGAATTGGAGAGTTCACTGAAACCATTCTCAGGATAAAGAAGTTTGTTTTACTGAATTCCCTATTGGACACGGTGATTATCATTTATTTATAGCCCCCTTTCCCCCTCAACTTAACTTAAAAATACAACTGAGTATGTGAAAAGGGAAAAAATATACAAAAACTGAAGGGGGCAAGGAAATGGGATTGGAGTACACAGCTTTGGTTAATGAGCTAGTGCAGGAACTTCCTTCAGTGCTGTAATTCCTCACTGTCTAATCAATACAGCAGCAACAATAGCCTCAAACCTCTCTGCTAAAAGTTACAAAATAAAAATTATACCCTAATTAGCTATAAGGTGTTAATACATTAGAAATCAACGTAGTCTGGCAAACACAGGGCTGATGGGTGAATGGGACTTGAAAATGAGTTAGGATAAGGATTTTTGGATGAACTAAAGTTACAAGGGTAAATCCAGTCTCAGTTGATGAGAAGACGACTCTCTGTTGGCTGTAACGATCTTCAAAGCATTTGGGCCACATACCCGTAAGTCCTTGTGGCAATGGGCCTGTGTATAAAAAAGACTAAAATTACAACCTCACTTCCAGAAAGCTCAAGGATGGTTGATTTTGGAAGTAAATTTATCATTTGGCTGCTGTAGTGTGGTCCCTGTGAGGGTGCAATTGAGATACATACTGAGGCAGAAGAAACTTCAATTCGCTGTTAACTGACTGAGGAATCTTTGATACTGACACTGGTTTCTTAAGATGTACTAACATCTTTTATCTTTGCGAACCTCCAAAGCTTAACAAAAATGTTAACCATCAGCTAAATTATGATTTGATCATCATGCATGAATAAGAGTGTCTGGAGCTTGGAGAGGCATCACCCTTGTTGAACTTGCATTGCAAATTAGACTTACAAACTGCTAGTATGCAAGACAAGGAAATGCTTTGTTCTTGTGCAGGAAGGTGAAAAAGCAGATGGGAGGTATTTTTTTAAACAGAGCCCTCACTAGCTAGGTTCATGCTTTATTTTGAAACTATTCCAAACTTCTAATTTTTGACTACGATGGGAATGAGTATGTACCAAGGATATCATCTTGATGGACTACATTTTTGGCAGCTTATTTAATAACTACTTTTATTTATATAGAATTTTAGAACTGCAAACTTGTCAAAGCAGCGCAGAGGACAAAATGTGATACCAGGCCACCTAAGGAAATAGATTAGTCTTAAGGATATTTTTAAAAGGAGTGGAGAAAGGTAGAGAGGCAGAGACATTCAGAGTTTATTCCTATGCTTGTGTAGCTCTAGTGATAGGGTGAAGGTAATCAGAGATACAGAGGAGGCCTGAACTAGGGAAACAGAGTTCACAGTAGGGGATTACGTTGTATAGAGGCTAGAGATAAATACGGGCACAGTTGTGGAGGGACTATAAGGTGTTAATACACTAGAAATTAATGTAGTTTGGCAAACACAGGGTTGATGGGTAAATGGGATTTGATAATGAGTTAGCATAAGAATTTTTGGATGAACTAAAGTTACAAAGGGTGCAAACAAAGGCATACATGGGTGATCGTAGGAGAGCACTGAACATGTATCTACAGCTAACAAAGGCGCAGAGGTAGAATAGGAAGCTTTGGAGATACAGAGGAAAGCTGCTGGAAGTTTGGTTCTTTGGGAACTTGGAGACAGATTAATATAGTTGGATGACAACTGGCAGCAAACACAGTTCAAACAGTCATTGGCAGCAGGTCCATCATCCTGGGCAGAATTCAGTAGAAGAGTAAATGTCTGTTTGCTGCTGACATCAAACTCAAATTGTCAATGGCCAAAATCAAAAGACCACTACACAGTTGAATGCCGATGTTAGTTTAACCAGTTTAGTATTTGTTCATCTTGCACTCAGCAGGTCAGTTCCCAAGAAATACCAATGTGAAAGGAAAACAAGGTTTTTATCCCACATGAGAAGACAGTGCTGTTTAACCAGCAAGTGAACTCTGACTAGTCGAGGTATTGCCATGGAGAATGCACCAGTTGGATGATGACTGACAGTTAAATTTAAACCAGGCAGGACAACACTGATTGGTTAAGGCATTGCCCTGAGAAATGATGCAGAGAATAGCTGTCACCTGCTTTGAGCTGAAAAAAGCACAAGCTGTATACATGCTGGAGGGCTGTTGTGGTGCAGTGTCAGTGTCATCACCTCTGAGCCAGGAGGCCCTGGTTCAAGTCCCACCTGCGCCAGTGGTGTGTGATAACATCTCTCAGCAGGCTGATTATAAAACAGGCCTGTGTACATGCTGGAGGACTCTTGTGGCATGGTGGTGGTGACTCCACCTCTGAGCTAGGATGCCCAGGTTCAAGTCCCATCTGCTCCAAAGGTGTGTAATAACATACTCTTTCTGTCAGCAAAGAACAGGACCTTGCATATTAACATGTAGCTCCTATCATGCACAGATGTATCACACTGCAAGCCTGACTTACAATTTTAAAATAGTTGTCAGTGCACTTTTTAGAAAAAAAAACTCAGTATCATTTAGCAAATGCTGTCCAAATGTGAATCACATGTAATGGTGGAAACTCCATTTTATACACGACCATTTGTACATCAATTCAACCTACCTGATGCAGCTCTATATCCCCATATATCAAGTGATCTGCTTTGAAAGCGTCAATAGCCTGGGGTGGGGGATGGAGAACTTAGGCTATTCCACCCGATCCTGATGTGAAAAAGTGCTTCCTTGAATCACTTTTGAATATCTAGCTCTAATTGTAATTCATGACACCTCGTTCTTAATTCTCTTACTATGTGAAACAAGTTTCTCTGTGTTGACCAAATCCACTCTTGCATTTTAAACAGCTCCACCAGATGATCCCTCAAACTTCTATATTCAAAGGAATACAGCCCAAGTATAGGCAACAAAAACAGAAATTGCTGAAGAAATTCAGGAGGTTTTATAGCATTGTTGACAGAAAGCAGAATTAATGTTTCAAACTGGAAGTTCTGAAGAAGCGTCACTGCACTTGAAACATTAACTCTGCTTCTTCTCCACAGGTGCTGCCAGAATTGCTGTATTTCTCCTGCAATTTCTATTTTTGTTTCAGCATCTTCAGTTCTTTATCTTATTTTACCATATGTACACAATCATCTTCATAATATAACGATCAACACTTTCGTATTATTCTGGAGAATCTGCAAAATACTCCTTCTAAGGCCAACAGATTTCCAAGCAGAACATAGAACACAGAACATTACAGTACAGTACAGGCCCTTCGGCCCTCGATGTTGCGCCGACCTGTGAAACCAATCTGAAGCCCATCTAACCTAAACTATTCCATTATCATTCATATATTTATCCAATGACCATTTAAATGCCCTTAAAGTTGGCGAGTCTACTACTGTTGCAGGCAGGGCATTCCACGCCTTTACTACTCTCTGAGTAAAGAACCTACCTCTGACATCTGTCCTATATCTATCACCCATCAATTTAAAGCTATGTCCCCTCGTGCTAGCCATCACCATCCGAGGAAAAAGGCTCTCACTATCCACACTATCTAATCCTCTGATCATCTTGTATGTCTCTATTAAGTCACCTCTTAACCTTCTTCTCTCTAACGAAAACAGCCTCAAGTCCCTCAGCCTTTCCTCATAAGACCTTCCCTCCATACCAGGCAACATCCTGGTAAATCTCCTCTGCACTCTTTCCAATGCTTCCACATCCTTCCTATAATGTGGCGACCAGAACTGTACGCAATACTCCAAGTGCGGCCCCACCAGAGTTTTGTACAGCTGCAACATGACCTCATGGCTCCGAAACTCAATCCCTCTACCAATAAAACCTAACACACCGTACGGCTATCTTAACAACACTATCAACCTGGGTGGCAACTTTCAGTGATCTATGCACATGGACACCGAGATCTCTCTGCTCATCCACACTACCAAGAATCTTACCATTAGCCCAGTACTCTGTATTCCTGTTACTCCTTCCAAAGTGAATCATCTCACACTTTTCCGCATTAAACTCCATTTGCCACCTCTCAGCCCAGCTCTGCAGCTTATCTATGTCCCTCTGTAACCTGCAACATCCTCCCGCACTATCCACAATT